GGCCACCCACCTGCCGAAGTAGATACACCTGTTTTTGTCATTTTCTCATTATGTTCTGGTGTAAAATCAAGTGTTTAAGGTTATAAGACGTTGTTGAGTAACTGTATTGCGGATATGAGGAGGAATCGACGCTATGGTAATCAGAGAAATAGTATTTGATTTAGAGCAAGTGAACCGGTGTGAACTTTCGTTCTGATCCATGCGTTTTGGCTTCGATATTAATATCCGCCGTGGAGAATAACGGTCAAAAGGAGAGAAATGATAAGACGATTTAATGACATAACATCGAAAAGAAGCTGGTATTATTATGCCAAACAAGATGTATTAATATGCTACTAAAGGACTTCAATATAAGTCGATCGAAGTCGATATTCCACAGTAACGGCGGCGGCGAGTTTTTTCAGGTGTCGCTTGGGCAAGTGATATCGTAACGGTGCCAGAGGTACGATAATCCACACCGTATTTTATTGCCGTTATAGATATATTTGTTACAACGTATAACGCTGTGCTTACGTAGCCGTTGCAATATCTCACCGTGACGAGTGTGCGCACACATGCAATTAGTTATATTATGTAGTTTCACGAAATTTCACTCAAACAAGTGAAATTTGGAAGGGGGGGGGGTGAAGGGGACGGGGGACCGGTGAGGGAAAACGTGTTTGCCATCGTCACTATTTTCTCTTTTTTCCATTGTGTGAAAAAAGAGTAAAATCATCTAATGTCACGCAGATGAATAGAGAAGAATGACGTATTCCTCCTTATAATGCGACTGGAGAATATTAGAGACTGTCAATGAAAAGGAAATGAAAAAAGAAATCGGGTATGGCAACTTATACCCGGGTTTAAAGTACTTTCACTTTCACTTTCCGTTGCTTGTCCTTTATTTCGTTATTTTTTTTTTTTTTTTTCGTTCCTTTTCTTACAGATTAATTGTCCTTTATTTCGTTTTCTTAACTTTTTATCTTTCTTTTTCATAATTTTTATTCCTTTCTTTATAGATAAATCGTCCTTTATTTCGTTTTCTTAATTTTTCATCATTCTTTTTCATTATTTTTCATTCATTTTCTTACAGCTTTTTCATCTTTATTTTTCATTATTTTTCGTTCCTTTTCCTATAGCAAAACTAAGCATCATTATACGGTTTGTTAATCATAATAGTAATAATAAAACGCATGATAATTATGCTGTTTATAATGATATCGGTAAAAAAGTAATTATATCAACGTTGATCCTAATATTTAGAAATCATTATGATCATATTGTTGATAATGATGATAATGATAATGATGATAATGATAATGATGATAATAATGATAAGGATGATAATGATAATGATGGTAATGATAATGATAATGATGATGATAATAATGATATTGATGATAATTCTAATGATAATAATGATAATGTTAATGATCATGCTTATGATAATGATGATAATGCTAGTGATAATGATGATAATGAGAATGAGAATGATGATAATGATAATGATTATGATGTTAATAATAATAATGATGATAATGAGGATACTCCGAAAAAAAAATCACAAGCGGAGAAAGATAAAAAAAAAAAAAAGGATTACTTATGGTCTATTTATTTTTCTTTTCAATCGTCGCTTCCTGTTTCATTCCACTTTTATCAATTTTTCGTCTCATTAGCTTTATATTTTTCCGTTTTTTAGTCCCAAATTTAATCCAAAACGGTTAAGTTAACCTTTAGTATTATCCTTCATTTACGTTATTTTTTTTCCTTTTTATCCTATCTCATATCCTTTGAAGCCAGTGGATGATTGGATAATGTATTCAAGGACTTAATCCTTTTTTATGAAAGATGATTCGCTATGATTTTTTTTTTTTTTTTGAGGGGTGGAGGAGGGGGGTGGGGGTGGGGGTGGAGGAAATGGTATGGTTAGTTATTTTTGGGGTAATTTGATTCTTTTTTTTCTTTTTCTCTCTCTCTCTCTCTCTCTCTCTCTCTCTCTCTCCTCTCTCTCTCTCTCTCTCTCTCTCTCTCTCTCTCTCTCTCTCTCTCTCTCTCCTCTTTGCTCTTCTTTTTTTTTTCTTATTTCCATCCTTCCTCTTCATCTCTCCTCCTTATGTCTAACCTCCCACCATCCTCACCCTCACCCCCTTTCCTCCCTCCTTTCCTTATTCTCCCCATCCTTCTATACCCCATCCCCTCCCTTCCTTCCTCTCCCCTTACACCCCACCTCCCCATCCTTTTAACCTAAACCTCCTTCTTCCCCATCCTATCCCTTTACTCCTTGCCCTCACCTCCCCCCCTTCTAACTCCCCCTCCCCCTCCTTCCCTTTTCCCCTTGCCCTCATCTCTCCCAATCCTTCTACCTAAACCCCCTTCCTCCTCATCCTTTAAACCCCTCTCCCTCCATCTCCTCCCTCTTCCCTTACCCTCATGCTCACCAAATCCTTCTAAACCCCCTCCTCCCCCCATTCTTCTACAACCCACTCCCTCTCCCTCCTAACATCCTATACCCTCCCTCCTA